GTTCAGCCAGTGGATTCTGTCAGAAGGGCTCAGGCAGCTGATTAGATTTAAGTGGCTAAAAACAAGTATGCTGAATAACTTTGTGTTATAATTATGTGATGTACTTTGGCAATCATAAGTCACCATTCGTAGCAGTACCAGATTTTATCACTCAAGAAGGAATAGGTAGAAACTCCTGTCCGTCTCGTAGCTAATATTTTTTGGAGGAGGGTTTATAATCTCCATCAAAACATGAAGTGATGGCCACTGCAACTTGGCTTGTGATTTTGCAGAGTGTAAGCACTATGGTTGGTTCTGGAGAAGGGGGTGAATTCCTTTGGTTTTGTCCCATGACCATTTGAGGATGGGAAGCATGATGAAATACTTTCTGAAAGTGTTCAGTAGAAACTTATCGTGAATAACTGGAGCAAAAATAGAATAAATCAAGGCTTTTTTTTTTTCCTGGTCTGGTAATTCATAATTGAAACCACATTGAGGTTAGATTGATATTCAGAACAAACCAGCTGAAAAAGCCTTACCCACAGAGGCAGGGGATATACCTCTGTTTTGCTTAGGTGTATAGAACTGCTTAGCTACTGTTGAAGTTCAACACACTGTTGTCCTTACTTCTGTGCTTTTAAAAGGCAATTGAGTTGCTGCTCAAACTGTGTGGTTTCACTAATCTGTGGTTACAACAAGGAGTCTAGTTATTGAGAATAAAACATAAGGAGGAAAGCCCACTGTCCTGTTCATGGGAGCAATGAACTCTGCTGAGTTTTCTCATGAAATGATAGCTGGGAAGTTCTTGACTCTCTTCTGTAATACAGGACAGCCTTACATGGTCTGGTTTTCTAGAGACCATTCTGGGATGCAGTTTATAATGTGTCTGCTGCATCTTTCTTCAGGTCTCTTTCAACGGTGCTCAATGTGCATCAAAGTAATTTTGGGATAGGATCCTGTGTTATGTCTAGTATTTTGCCAATACCTTTGAGGCTCTGTGGCATTTGTTATGATTAACCAGTTCTCAGGCCAGTTGTGTTCACTGACATCTTGAAGCTCCCATCTATCTCATTTGTGTAACCTGCTAAGAACAGTCTGTTTAGAACTTCTCTGCTAACTTGAGCCTGAAGACTCCACATTGAGTCCAACCTTAAGCATCCCATGCAATGAGAATTCAGCTCCCTTGCTACCTTGTCTTTAATGTATTAGCTTTTCCTAAAATGGAATCAAGTTGGTTTTAATGATAAAGAGGTAGGGCAATATTTGATGTATCTCTAGTAAAGGAAGGTGCCTTATTTCTAAGGCATTATTACACATGCACTTTGGTGGATAGCGTGCACAGGACAGCTGCAGCAGTATGGATCCTTCATTGTATTCATGCCCATTCCTTAATTCTCTCTCCACTGCTTCAGGTTATACCTAGGTTCTTACTGTCATTCAGGTCCCACTACTATGGATATTCATGTGAACTGCAAAGAGCTGTCAGGTGATTGAGACTGTAAGACTTAAGTGACATGCGATTACTCTTAGGAAACTGGCATTTGAACTTGATCCTTTTTGCCTATATAAGCAACCTATTAATCTTAGATTAATTATCCTGGCTCTTCTAATGATATTAGTGAGAGTGAAGGGTTGTCTTATCCACAGCTGAGTGTCAGCACTTTGTCAAAGAAAGGTGATGGATGATCAATCCACTGTTGCTGTTTGCTCTTCTTCCTGAAAGTTCCTCTGAATTCCCATCAGGAATGTTAATAAAAATGGGACTGGAGGGAATGTTCCCTCACCACTTGGTTTCTTGACTACTGACTGGGAGAACCCATCCCTATGTCATTATCCACTTCATGCTTTGCTGCCATAATAGAGATTTAATTAGGTTGCTGTTGAATTAATCCCCTCTATGGTTGCTTTTCCCAAGCAGAAATCTGGAAGACTTTAGCAAATTATGGAGGCTTGAATTTGCCTGATTTCCTGCAGAAAGTGGGGTCAATAGGTCTCAGACTGTAGACACACTCTTCAGGCAGGCAGCAGGGGGTTGGCTCTTAATGGCACTTTAGAGATGCTTAATTGCCTTTTTGAAATGTTTTTCTCAAATGAGAGGTATGGTTCTCCCATCCATTAGTGTGTCTACAGGCCTTTCCGTCCCACTATCATCCCTTAGTAGGTGCATGAGCAAAAACACCTCAAAAGTTGCTTTAGTTTTCCTAAGTTATAAACAGCAGGGGAGGATTTTCATACCTGACAGTAGTAAAAGTTGGAATTTAAGTATTGTACCTAAAACTGAAGGTTTTAAGGGAAAGCATGATACTTTAGGCAGATGTGCATGTGCTCACACATTTGCATCTGTATTTTTTTTCTTTAAGTAACCAAAATACTCTTAGATGGCAGAGAAGGATTAGTCCTTTTCCAGAGGTATTATAGCAAGCAATTTGTTAGGAAATGCTGTTGCCAGACTGAAAAAGTAACTAGAAAACCTTCAAGTGGGAGATACTAATTTAGGTGGCAATATTCACCCATAGTAAATAAAGCACTGTCCATAGAGTGTGCTACCAGTTACTACTACTTGTAGGGCAGAAACACAAGATTTTCTTGGCTCTCTGAGTATGATGTTAAACCTCTGCTTCAAGTATTAATGAAGAGAGGTTTCTGAAAGTTGTTTTAAGAATGATGTTAAACCTCTGCTTCAAGTATTAATGAAGAGAGGTTTCTGAAAGTTGTTTTAAGAAGCTGATCAACATTACAAGGGTCATTTGGGTGATAGCATTCTTGAAGTGGGGGTTGTGTGGAAATGAATCTGTAACATTTTAATGAGATGGATTATGCTCTGGTAGCATTTACATTGTGATTTGCTGGAGCAAAGTCAGAGGGCTGTCCCCATCTGCCACCAGTCATCTTGTAGAATTAGCCAAAGGATGTGTAATAGATTTAATTTTAGAAAATGCAATAATCTGAAAGCAGATTTGTTTCTGCACATATCAGCTGCTGGAGTAATGGATATATATTCATTTCATCAGGAACTGTAGCGGCAGGACAAGGGGTGATGGGTTCAAACTGAAACGGGGAAGTTCAGGTTAGATATAAGGAAAAGTTCTTTACTGTGAGGGCGCTGAGGTGCTGGAACAGGTTGTCCAGAGAAGTGGTAAATGGTCCGTCCCTGTCAGTGTTCAAGGCCAGGCTGGGCAGAGCCTTGGGTAACATGGTCTAATGTGAGGCTCCCTGCCCATGGCAGGGGGGTTGGAACTGAATGATCTTAAGGTCCCTTCCAACCTTAACTATTCTATGATTCTATGATGTATTTTCTAAATTGCTGAGTGCAGTCCTCTGCTGTCCCAGGTAGCCAATGTCCTTTTCATGAACCTAAGTTCTACATTATTCTGTTACTATTCCTACGTTATCCTATTACTCCTGTCGGGTTGAAACCAGAACTTCATGCTTTCCATTAGGAAACTCACAAACAGCTTATGCCGAATGTTACTTGTACCAGACCTGATAAAGTACGTGTAGCTGAAGACTACTCTGCCTTTCCAACTATTACAGGAAGCCTACTAAAAGGTATTACTCCTACTGACAAATCCTTGCCAGGAACATACCTTTAGACCATCCTGGATAAAACAGTATGTCTGTGCTGTGCTTAAGTGTCTTTTCCACCTTCAACCTTCAATGTTGCTGTGTTTGTAGAAGGAAATCATATTCACATCATATTTTTTTCTCCTTTACCAAAATGGTCCAAAAGTTATGATCTCTTTTAGTAAATAAGCCCTCTATATCCTTGTCCTTGAAGTTACTCTAGTTAGAGGTGTCTAACCTCTAAACATGAGGAAGGTGTTTGCTGGGTGTATAAAGTAACCCAAAGTCTAAATAAAGAAATGGAAAATTGCAAAGTTTATTTCCTGCTAATATGAACAGATAACTTTGAGTCTATAAAACTTGCATTGCCTTTTGATACAAGCAGTCTTGTGGTATGAATTTAACTGGAGAGTCTTGCAGTATTTCTGTAAACTGCTGGCAGTTCCTAACCTCTTCTGAGTGTTCATAGTTTTTACAGGCTGGGATTCAAGACTTCCCTTCAAAACAGCATCACTCAGTTTCTGCTTTCCCAGCTCCCCTTTTCACCTCGTCCCAAAAGGTCCTGTTTTTCCCCTTTGCTTCTCTCTCCGACCCCTGCTTGGAACGTCAGCTGGAATGGAAAAGTTGAGACTGAAATGCCGGCGCTTTCATTCCTGTTGAATGGTCCCTGCACTGCTTCCTCCCCCGTGTTGTCAGCTCCAAAGGAGGTTGGCACATCTAGTGAGAATTTAGTTGTCTGTCTTGGCTTCTGCCAGCTGAGCTGGCTTCCTTATACTGGCAGTATACTGAAGTAAGACCTTTTAAAGTCTTAAAAGGGATGGCTTAGTTAAAATTCATGAGAAGTAGATCACTCTCATCTTTGCATCTCATGCCTTCTTTTTTTTCGTTTAATGTAATAGGTGGTTTTTTTCCATCATTAAATAAACATAGTTTTATAGAAGCTAGTACATTATTCTTTTTAGTGCCTGCTTTTGCCTTTTTGCTTGGGTATACATTTTATGCCAGGTTTATGATTTCATTGCTTCGGTTTTGTTGTAAACCCTTTTTTTTTTTTCTGTTGAAATGGTGCTGATTAAGTTTCTCTTGGTTTATTGAGTCCTGACTATAAATAAGATTGTCTTGCAATAGTGATTAGTAAATGAGAATTGAGTCGTGCTAACTGGGTTCAAAATTAACCTTGGTTTTCCTTCTCTACAGGTTTATCTGCCCCTTCCACTTTATTTTTTACTTAAAACCCCTCTTGTTTGCAACGTTACAGCTAGGCAAAAATGAAAATTGAATTAAGAAATAAATTGGAATAAAGGTTTGGAGAAGTCAACCTGCTTGAGCTGAGCAAATTCCAAATCTGATGGTCTAGTCCTGGCTACATGATATACTCCCTAACATAATAACTACTCCCTACTGTGGTAAGTCACTTCAATCCAATTGTTTACCTGTTTTCTTCTTTTCCTTCACAGAAATGGAGCAGTGTGAGCAACCCACTCTTCCTCCCATTGATCCCACCTCAGTCCCAAGGATTCACAGCCATAGTTCTGACCTATGACCGGGTGGAGAGCCTTTTCCGAGTCATCACCGAGGTGTCTAAAGTGCCTAGTCTCTCCAAGTTGTTAGTTGTCTGGAACAACCAGAATAAGAATCCACCAGAAGGTAAGACCCCCTGGTAGGTGTGGTGGAGGAGGGTGCATCTGGTGGTAGCATGCTTATTTTCATGTGTTACAGAATGACCCCTCTTCTACTTAATGTGTCTTTGAGAAGTATTTCATGGATACCTCCAAAATAAGAAATTTTGAAATACTTGCATAAGAAAAGCCAAAGTAGATTAAAAGGGAAAAGCATTCCAGTGGTTGTGCTGCTAACTTAAAACCGTAGAATGGTTTGTGCTGGAAGGGACCTTAAAACTCATCCAGTTCCAACCCCCTGCCATGAGCAGGGACACCTTCCACTAGAGCAGGTTGCTCCAAGCCCTGTCCAACCTGGCCTTGAACACTGCCAGGGATGGAGTAGCCACAGCTTCTCTGGGCACCCTGTGCCAATGCCTCATTACCCTCACAGGGAACAACTTCTTCCTAATGTCCAGCCTAAATCTCCCCTCTGTCAATTTAAAGCCTTTCACCTTTGTCCTGTCACTACACACCCTTGTAAAAAGTCCCTCTCCAGATTCCTTGTAGATGCTTTACACGTGAATCTCTCACTCTGATCTGAAAATGTGGTGGTTTTATGGAACAAGAAATGTTGTCTGCTAGCAATACATGTTCAAAAAGATGCTAGATTGTGGATTCTGTCTGTAGGAACAAAGCGTGTTGTAAGGACTCTTCAATTTGTCATTATCTAGTCAGAAGCTTCAGCTGCTGTAGCCTTCCACTCTTGGAAGTTAGCTCTTCTGCATAGCTGCAAGACACAATGTAAAAATGAATCCCTGACCACTAGTCTCAATTTACCATCTTCTAACAGCTTCTCAGAGCCAAGCTATTGCTACCATTCACTTGGATCATTTGCCATTTTGGCAGCTTGCTCTAGTTATGAGCAGAGCAGCTTTACTGTTTGCTTTTAAAAGAGTCCTGAAATACTGCAGTGCAGAACACCTCAAGTTTAGTGGTTTATTCAGTGTTTTGCAATCCTTTAGAATGGGAGGTGTTGTAAATTGATGATAACTGGAATTTTTGCAGTATGAAGGGTTTGTTCCTAAAAGCAAAAATGCTCTGGTGTTATATTCAGTTGTGTGAGCACTGCATGTGTGTGGATTTAACCCAAATGGATTGTTTCCACATTTCCCTTGAGTGAGTCTGCGATACAGGAGAGTCAAAGGAAATCAATCATTAGAATGATCTTTTTTGGTTAAATCCTTCTATTAATTTTGTATTTAGAAATTCTTGAAACTTGAAGGGTGTTTGATTTTTTACCAAGTCATAAACTAGTTAAAAAACCCCACAACAATAAAAAACCCAACAAACTTTGCCTGTAGAGCTTAAAATCGTGGGTTTGAGAGCACAGTTGAAAGCAGTTTTGCCTTTACATTACCCTAAGCATTGCACTGAAGCAAATAATTGTAGTGTCCCTTTATTGCTGTTATAACCATTGTAATCTCTTGGCCTATGGCTAGAGAGGTCAGTTTGATTAAATGAACTTGTTTTATTCCAGATCCATGCAGGGCATTCCACTTGGCTCTTTGGCCAGTCTCTCGTTCAGTCTGTCTATTAGTGATCCTAATCCTTGGACTTCAAAGCTTCTGCTGTTTATAGCCTGTTAAAGCCAGGAAGTTTCTGATGGATTAGAGCAAGGAATGAGTTTGAAGTTTGTAATGTGCACCACTGTCACTGATAAGGTCTGGTTTATTACCCTACAGTAGTATCTGCTCTTTTATGGCTATTCACTTTTAATTGGTTATAGTAAAGCTGAGGTGCTTAACCTCCTAGAGCATCAAGAGCTGTATTTCCTGGTCCTTTCCACGTAAGGGATGCATTTGGGTACAAAAGCAGATCTTGGCTTTTGTTATTGCAGCCGTTTTGCGCATTTGGTTTGTTTCGCCTGTGTAAGTGGGAGGGCTGAGTGAAGGACATCCAAGTTGTCTTCCTTAGTGATTATGTGCAGTAAATTGAGAAGTGGATTTAGGTCTCCTGAGATGTAGCTGGCGTAGTGCCACACAAATATGATGTGGCTGCTCTGCTCCTTTCCTTCCTCTATCAACACCAGCAATACATTAGAACTGAAAATGACATTGTTAGTAAAGCAGTATGTATTGGAAGTAGAGGGAGTCCATCCCTAGGAATGGAAAGCTTTAAAGTACATGCAAATTGTAAAATTAACATTGATTTGGGGGGATTCGGTTTATTTATTTTTTAATGAAAGCTTATATACTTTTAATAATGCCTGTATGTAATGCAAGTCAGCAAACTCAGGACTTGAGGTGAAACCAGAATAAACATGAAATATTCTCTTCTAAATATTGGGCAAAAATGAAGATGCTGTACTGCTCAAATGTGCCATTCCATAAGATAAATATCCTTTTTTGCTTTTCTTCAGCATTTAGTACAGTTTATATGAAAAGATGCATTTGTCAGCATGACAAATGTTCTGTTGTGGGTGCCCCATCCCTGGCAGTGTTCAAGGCCAGGTCAGACACAGGGGCTTGGAGCAAGCTGCTCTAGTGGAGGGTATCCCTGCCCATGGCAGGGGATTGGAACTGGATGAGCTTTAAGGTCCCTTCCAACCCAAACCAATCTATGATGCTATGAAAACGCTTCCAAATACGTATGTTTTCTGGTTTTATATGCATTAGATTAACTGGTTATTTCCATTTTGCATCTTTCCAAACTGGGGTACCCAGAGGTGAAGTCTTCACCGTCACTCAGTAACGTAGCTTCAGGGCAAGGAGTTGATTCAAGAAGGTCCTGTGCTTTGGCCTCTGTTTCCTTAGTTGAATACACCACCTTCCCATACTTTCTATATAGGTACATGTAGAGGGATGGAAGGTTTGCTGTGTGTTTTGAGGTTTGCTGAATCTGCGTGCCAAAGTAGGAACATTGTGCTTTGGGTGAGCCTGGGAACCAAGGGTCTAATCTTTTGGGTTTGAACTCAGAATATCAGCAGAGCCTTAAAGAAAATAAATATCACAGGAACAGATAAATCTATGAGCAACACAGATACCTTGTAAAAACATTTTGAAATGTAGAGTGCTTGTGATGGTAAAAATCAGAGAGTCATAGAATGGTTTGTGTTGGAAAGGACCTTAAGGTCATTCAGTTCCAACCACCTGCCATGCGCAGGGATGCCTCACGCTAGACCGTGTCATGGGATCTTATATGTGACATAGCAGAAAGAAAATACAAAATGCAATGATGATTTTGATCTGGAACCTTAAAGCTTTATATAATGAACTTGCTGATCTAAAGTGCTCTCTGGATTCAGGGGATTCAATCTCTGCTCTGTTTGGCTGAATTTTGCATATGTTCTCAGCCATACAGAGTGTGCAAGAATCCTCCCAACCCAGCAGTTAAGTCAGCAGACCCACAACTGCGTATATGATATTAATGGAGAGATTAAATCCTTTGAAATACTCTACATCCAGGGAAAGAAACATTGTGGTCCAGGTGCCTGCGGCTGGGAATATTTGTATAGACAGGATATTTTTCATTGTCTCCATCAGCCAAATACCTTTGCCCTTTCATTTGTAGCTGGCTAAATGGCTAGTTCTGAAAGTCAAGAAAATAGTCTGATAGGAATTTCCACCAATGTTTCATTGCATTTGTTTCAGATGATGGAAGAAACCATTTTGTCTACTACTTCAATGGTATAAAAATATCTAAATAGTAAATACTGAACAAACTACAAATCATTTACCTTGATTCCTTTCTAGGTTCAGAGTCACAGAAGTGAAAAGTATGTTTTAAAGCATGTATACTTTCTGTATAGTTCTGTCAGTGGTGGTTCCTGGAGCTAAGTTTCTGATACACTTGGAATAAGATGCAGACTATAAGGAATAAGATACAGACTGTAATGCTTATGGGTATTACTGCAGTAATCATCTTTGTATTTCAATTTGATACTGTTAAAGGATGACACTGATTTGAAACACTGGGGATAAGGAACCTGAGCATTAGGAACATTTTGCAATGTTATTTCCAAGGAAACCTAGAAATCTACCGTAACAAACCCAACTTAACAAAACTGGACTTCAAATACTGTCCTAGAAACCAATATTCTGGTTTCTTTTATATAAGAGGAATTCTGTGCATTACAGTAGGCCAATATAAACATTATAATGTAAGTAGAAAGCACCAGATCTGCACAGATCTAAGTTGAAGCAGGTGAAATGCCTGAATAGACTTCTTTTTTTTTTATTTCATTATTGCCATTATTGAAGGAATTCTGATAATAATTAAATGTGATATAGAATCATAGAATGGTTTGGGTTGGAGGGCACCTTAAAGCTCATCCAGTTCCAACCCTCTGGCCAAAGGCAGGGATGCTTTCCAGTAGATCAGAGGTGCTTGATGATGTTTCTGTTAGTGTTTTGAAACTTCAGATTCCAGCTAAGTTCTGCCATTCAGCCTTTGAGACTGAGATAGTACTTGTTAGGCTTCCATCATCCATGTTCAGTTCGCTGAATTCATACAGATTACTACAGAGCAATTAGAATCTAATCAGAGTTTATCAAAGATCAGGGAGGAGACCTAAGCGTGGTATATGGGATTCTCTGCAACTGCAGGTATGTACAGAGAAGCATATTTAGAGATGTTTTCTGCCAGGGTTTTTATTGATCTTTGTCTACCTGACACTACTTCTGGCAAGGCTTTTGCTTTTTACAGTTCCATGTGGGCTCCTCAGAAGTTGTGGGAAGTACATGAATTAGTACTCTGGTGCCAGGTTATCAGTAGTCATGAGCTATTGCTACCTGTTATTACTGAGGAAGTAAACCAGGAAAAGCATACTTGTATGAATAATCAAAATGCCATTGTTTTAGATAATAAGTGGATTTTTTTTTTTTTTAATTTTAATTTGTCATATTGCTCCTAATACTGTCAAGCATTCAGTTCTTGCCATGGAGAGTGGAAACTGAATTGCCAGATCCTCCTCATTATCCTTACCTGCTGCTTCCAATTGCAGATGCAACAAGCCATCTGCATTCAAGTATCACTTCCTATTTTTGA